TCCAACTTCCTTAAGCTAGAGAATAGAAGAAGCAAGGTTGAGACCCTCTCTTCCTTCCCCTATCCTTATGTATACACTTAATGTATGAATATCTTGAATCTGGCCTTTTTTTGATTAAAAGGAAATATCCATCTATCTGTGTTGATGCTAAGATTTATTAGAGCTCCCTCTTCGTGACTACTTGCCTGCAAGGATGTGCTAAAAATGGATCAACTCAATTGTTATGACTTTGACAAGAAACGTTTTTGTTTAAAATAGGGAGAAAGTTGGTTTTGCTATTCTGCTTGCTAAAGAAGATATTCAAAAACCTTCTTGTTTTATTAAAGAAAAAGGTATCAGAGGACTTTGTGTGTGTTTGAGAGGAACAAAGCTTGCTCAAACTCCAAAATATCTCACACAGGAATAGGTAGCCTCTATGGTTTCTTTAAATATGTACTGCAAGAATGTGAGTCAGCTGAATTAAACTTTAACACATTTATACTCGGTTTCTGAATTGTGCTCCAAGAAACCAAGAATAAATTAAAATAAAAGATTTGAACTGGTATAGTTTACAATTTTCTGACACACACACTGAACGTGTAGATTATATTGGTTTAGTCACTCTCAGACTATTCCATGGGAACTGCCTTAGTTGTTGCAAACATAGATGATTGCAACTAGGGATGTGCAAAATGTCTCTGGCTGTTTCATTTTGACTTGTTTCCAGCTCAAAACAGTGAAATCAAAATTAAATGAAGAGCTTCGAAAAAGCCTTGAAATGAAATGAGGGCAGTCGAAATGTTTGGAAAGTTCTGAAATGTTTTGAGTTTCAAAACTGAAGCTGGGCTTCCTTGCACAAAAACAGAAAGTAAGGAGAGGGAGGGGAAAGAGGGGTGGAGGACTGCTCTGATATCGACTATGTAGCTGATCAGTGACTGTGATCCTTCCCTGAGGTCCCTTCCAATCCCAGTACTCTGGGGGAGGGGTGGAAAATCAACATAAAAAGCAACATTGTTTGAAATGAGCTGCTTTCTGCCTTGGGGTCAGTTACTGAGCTGTCTTCCAGCAGCATCAGACAGCAAAGGCTACCATTCATTTCCTACTTGGTAGCCTAGCAAATGGGATTCATCAATACCTTTTGCTTTCTATACCCTTTTATTTTGTTATTATATTAATTGATTCCTTTAAATACGAAGTGCAGTTCATAGGCTCAACTGTGAAAAGTGGCTTGTAAATTCACTTTGAAGATGAAGCCTAAGAGATTGGAGACACGTAGTTGGGTGTTTTTGTCTTTGATAGATTTTCAGTGTGTGCTCATTCTGGTGCGCAGTTGTTGCTTGGTGTCTCCTGCATATTTTCTATCAGGGCACTTGGTGCCCGGATGGAGATATGTATTGTATTGTGAAGATATCTCCATACTGGAGATATTGTTGGCAGTTTTTACATGTCCTGTCATGGCATGACCTGGATCCATTCAGTGTGTTTTGGGCTGTAGGAATTTGGCTTCTGGTGATGAGGTTAGTGTGGTTCAGTGTTTGTTTGAATTTATAAACCACCTTTCACAGACAAGCCTATGAACTGCACTTCATCAACCTCCAAGGTACAGAAAGTCATGGACTCAATATAGACATTGGAATTCGGATGCACTACAACCTGCCTGACATCTGACACCCCAGGTACCTCTCCACTTTTACCTGCTACATCCTCCTTCCACCCCCCACCATCCCAGCCTGTCCCTCACCCCCTGATGCCTCCATTTCCATTTTCACTGACTGGCTGTCTTGCCTGCATTGCATGCCAGCCTCTGACTTCTTTACTATTCCTTCCATCCAGGAAGAGCACACATACCAACTGCAGGTGCTTCTTCAGCCTGATGAAGAATTTTTTAACCCAAAAGCTTGCTAAGATATATTTCTCCATCTATTTAGTTGGACTACTAAAAGATAGCAGATTGACCCAAAGAACCTTGTCTGCCAGTGCCATGTCCTTAGACCAATACCCCCAGCACCTGTCCCTGGTCAGCTAAGTGGAAGGATGCATGGCCCTGGGCACATCTAAGCCCCAGGCCTGGGGCTGGCAGGGAGAGTGCTCTGGCAGCTGCTGGAGAAGAAGCTCGTAGTGCTACTGTGCTGCTTACTTACCTGTTGTTATTTAAAGTGGTGGACCAGACTGAGGCTGTAGGGAAGAAGGAGGCCTCACTGAGGCGCACTACCATGTCATGTAGAGGCCCCAGCGATAGTGAAGGCATGCCTTAACAGACACACAGTCCCACGTGTCATGAGTTTGCTTGTCAGTCGCTTGAGGTGCAGTTTCCCAGAGACCCCTGCACCTATCTCCTTGAAACTTAACAGGCTTTGTGGCTTCAGCACAGGCTACCCTCCCTGCTATTTCATTTGAATCAAGCAAGATATGACAAAGTTATAGGTAGTTTCATGATTCCCCATTATAGCCTATGGGAGAAACTTTGAAACAGTGTTGAAACAACGAAAGAGTTTCATCAAAATGAAATAGAACAGTGCTTCGAACTGAAACAAAACTCTAAACGAAACACTGTCCCATCAAAACGGCAAAACGGACTTCGAAACAAAATGGTGTCATTTTGAACAGCCCTAATTGCAACATGAATGAGACGGGATGGCAGGAAGAGGAAAAATCACCCCAGGTTTAACACACAGGAATGTGGTGCTAGAGAATTGGATTTGATCTCTGCTCCTGACAGAATCCCTTCATGTGTGGTCCCAGGCACTTGAATCAAAATTTTCACCCCAGGCTGCTAATTGTGTGTTCCTCATTTTCGGGGGGGGGGGGGCGCTTTAACCTTAAGGACTGAATTAATGGATCTGGAATGGAAACTAATAAACAAGTAATGTGGTCATATATTTAGGAATCAATAAGGGCTTGGGAGAATGGGATGACCAGAAGAGCATGTCTCATGAAGGAAATTAAAAGTTTATTAAGCCTAGCAAAAAAATAAATAAAGCAAAGTAATCGTATCTCCTCTCAATGGATGCATCAGGGGATTAAACAAGGGGGAGGCAGAATTGCTGTTTAAGCTGAAGCATAATGTTGGTGCAAGAATAAATGTGTATAAATTGTCCACCAATACTTTTAGGCTAGTAATTAAAAGGGGGTTTCTAACTGCAATAAAAACTACCTTGCTTAATCCCAGCATCACTGTGTGCAAAAAGATTTTTTTTTCTTTTTTTTTTACACCAAACCTGCCATTAAACTTAATTCTGCCTGCACTGGGCTACAGTGAACCCACAGGCCAAAAGAGACGATAATTTTCTTTGTCCCTAATTCTTAATGTATCAGTGTGAAGACACATTCTGGAGTTCATGGCTTTGTCTCTACTTATTTTGTTCTGGCAATAGATGACACTTGCCACTGCTAAGCCTCTAGGTCATGTACATGTCCTTGCACCATGGTCAGTCCATGCCAGCAAAGCATGAAGTTCGCCCTGGAAAGGCACCAGCTGATGAACAGGTTGCTAAAGCTAGCAGAAGGTGCAAAAATGTCTGCACCAGCCCTCTGCCAACTCCTGGATGACAAGAAGAATTATTTTGCTCTGGAGAGGTGATACGACTTTGCAGGCAGAAAAGGGAGGTGTTCTGCCATCATGGAATTCTGACTATTGATGCACTCCAAGTTTTGCTGGAAGTACCGTGTAGCAGAAACTAGGCATTAAGCATTCTGTTTGAAACATGGCAACCCTTATAACACCGGCCTTTTCTGCATGAAAAGTTTTCTGTCCTCATCCTTTCTACTGAAGCTTTGCCACAAAAATCATGTGCGTCTTTGAGCACATTCCACATGACAGTGTACTGACATTCAAATTCTCTCCTAGACTAAAATGCAACTATATGCTTTTACTAGACTATGCTAAGTGTCATTTTAGATTCCTGTGAAAAGTGAGGATGAAGACTTCTCAGATCTTCTCTCTTCTGTGCCTAGACACTTGCCAGAAATGCTGTATAGACTTTCAGAGGTTGCAGCAAAAGTCCAGATTGTTTATGCTATTGGAAAGGTTTGTCAGAAACCAGCAGGTGAAAATATTCTTCGTTGAAGTGGTGGTTTGGTTACTTGGCAAAACGTGCACCAGTGAGACAAGTTTCTTCAAAAAGAGAGACAACAAAGAGACCAAAAAAGAAAAAAGTTCAGTGAAAAAATATGCAGAGTCCATCTGCTCTAACTTTATTCTTCAGTTAAGTTTGAGCATAGATTGTAATACAAAAGACAGAAATGTTTTGCCTGTAGTAGCTTTTCTGTAACATAACCAGTGCAAAAAATGAAGGTGCCCAAGGATTCTCCAACCTTCTACATTCTTATACCTCTGCAGTTAAAATCTTTTGTTTGATGGCAAGTATAATGTGTCAGTATATTTGTGAGCATGTTTTTGCCTTTAACCCTTAGGTAAATGGGTAAATTTAATGTAGATGACCTTAAGTCACCATGTCAGGGAGAGGAATCTAGTCTAGGAACAACCAGGTATATTGCAGAGGGAGGGATGGAATCCAAGTTTGGGATGTCTAGGAGGAAGGGTTGTGCAAGGTAGCTAGAAGCAGTCCATGGCTGCTTATGGAAGAGGAGGCATCTGGAGATGGAAAGACCAAGGCAGATTTCAGATGCAACTGCTGGATGTATGGTGTGTTTATGCATATGTAAATTTTCTGTAGAAGTCAGGGATAAAAATGAATATATGTTTATGTATACAACTGGACAAAGTAGAAAATATATTCCTCCCTTGCAAAAATAAGGAGAAACTTAGGAACTGTACAGTGGATGACAATAAGAAATGGCAGATTCCTATTGATTCCACACACTTGGAATCTCATTAGTTATCAGATGATACTTGAGTAGTTCTGCAAATAAACAACTTTTTTTTTTTCATTCTCTGCTGTTAAACTGCCCAGAGCCACCAAATACAGATTAGTTTGGAATGCATTTATTGTTCCTGCTAGAGGTGATATGAAAAAATCAGTTTTAGGTGCACAGATTTTTTTTTTCTTTCCTCCCTTTAGGCTGTTAAAGGATGCACAGAATGAAGCTCATTTCAAAGGCTGGTATCAGAAGCTGTTGGCTGCTCTCCAATTCTGTGCTGGCAAAACCCTGAATGATGAGTTTTCTCAGGAGAGGAAACTTATCAAAATTCTGGGAGGCATTGCTGAAAAAGTAAAGGCTGCCACCAAACCAAGAAGACAGGTTTGCTAAGACAACTCACCCCTCCCCTCTAAGTTTTGTTCAATTCACTTTTAATTTTGCTGATAGGACACATCTTCTGAAAGTGCTCTTTGTTATATAACCTAGCTTGAGATTCTGCATCAAAACTTCTCAGATTTTGTGCTAGTCTCTGTAAAAGCCTGCGTGTATGTGTGTGTAAGGAGTGGAGTGAGGAGAGACGCTGAGTCAAGAGCTCCAGTTAGTAGGTGTATTAAATGCAAGGCTGACTTAGTCACCTGTATGATGGTCATTACTATCTTTTAGTTTGCCCTGGCAATTAAATAGTTGCAATAACCCATGCACTTAACATAATGGCCACCAAGATTCACAGAATCGTGTTGCATATCTACAGAAGCAGTCATAAAACCATAATGGCCACAACTGCTAGTAAACTAATTTCTAATGAGCAGAGTTTCAAAAACTGTAGCCCCTGAGTCAAGTTGAATTGCTATACCCATAGTTTCTCAAAGCACACATCTAACAGTGACCAAGGGTGATGATTACAAAGCCCATCATTCTTTTAATTAAAGAATTAAAGTAAAACTCAAAGCCAAGTCCCCTTCTCAAAATATATTCCACCTGAAATGAGATTACTTGTAGCAGGGAGACCTCAAGTCTCTAAAGTGCAAGGTTTTTTTAAAAGTTAGTTAGTAACTCAACTAGGGAGACCTGAAAGCCAAATAAAGATGAGACCTATCACTTCAGGATGACAGAAGAGTCTGAACTCTGTTTTGCCTTTAGAAAGGACTGAAGGATTTTAAAAGAAGGCAGAAAACTTAAGCAATAGTGAGAGCGGCAAAACAAACTTTGAAGTAGAGAGACAGCAGTTTGACTTTGAGGGAGATAGGTAGCCATCTTAAAAACAAAACAGCAGTGACATATTACATGCTGCTACCTCAGAGACAAATTTAGAGGTTATGAGAGCCATGTTCAGTGTAATCCCGCAAACCTTTTACAATATGCAGTCATAGATAAAAGGGGGAGGTAGCAATGCTGAGGCAATAAACCAAAAATCAGTATTTGTTTGCATGCTTGGTCAGAGCGGGAAAAGATAACACAAGACAAAACAGCCCAAGGTGTAAGACTTAAGAGCCCCTGATGAGAGTTTCAGATCTGAACCATGACAACATGGGCATGCCATGTAAAGCAGCAAGGGCACAGATGCAGAGCACGAGCATAGTTCTTAATTACTATACAGTGGTGTAACACCTTTAGTTATTATAAAGCTGTACTACTATTACCAAGACCAGACATTTTGCAGTTTTATTAAAATACAGCAAGACAGTCAACAGTTTAAGAAACTGCTGTTATGTTGTTTCAACTTGTCATAATGATTAATATCTCACAGGAGGTGCTAAAGATGGAAATCAACAGACTTAAACAATTCTTCCAGGAGGTAAATGTTTGCCGGCTTCCCTTGAATCCTGCACTGGCTGTACAAGGCATAGATTCAAATGTAAGTCTAGCTTACTTGGTGAATCATTTTATTTTGGGGGTGATGAATAGTAAGGAGTAAACTGTAGAGCTGCACAAAATGTCACCAGCGGTTTCATTTTGACACTGTTTTGACTTGCTTGGAGCTCGAATCAGCAAATTTGAAACAAAGCGAAGGGCTTCAAAACAGCCTTGAAATGAAACAAAGGCAGTCAAAATGTTTTGAAAGTTTCAAAATGTTTCGAAGATCAAGCTGGGCTTGCTTGCAGGATAACAGAAAGTAAGGAGAGGGAGGGGGAAGTGGGGAGAAGGATTGCTCTGACATTGACTGTGTAGCTGGCCAGTGACTGGGATCCTTCCCTGAGGTCCCTTCTGATCCCAGTGCTCTGGGGGGAGGGATGGGAAAAATGCATAAAAGGCAGCATTGATTGAACTGGCCTGTTTTCTGCCTTGGGGTCTGACAGTTACTGAGATATCTTCCAGCAGCTCAGGAGCATTAAGACAACAAAGGCTACTACTACCGTTGATTCAATTTCCTGCTTGCTAGCCTAGCAAATGGGATTCCAAAATACCTTTTGCTTTCTTCTAGACCTTTTTATTGTATTATTATATTCATTGATTTATTCTTTTCAATTTCATAATTATATTGGATATTATACTATATAATTTATATAGGAAGGCAGATACATATGTTTTTAGTTCTATACATTTATATTTTGTGGCATATTACATTCTATAATGTATATAGGAACACAGATACATTTATATATATTTTTATAAACACAAGACACTATGAAACTCTGTGAAAAGTGGTTTGTAAATTCCCTTTGAGGATCAGGCCTGAGAGATTGGAGACTTGGTGCCCATATGTATTGTACTGTGAAGATATCGCCATACTGGAGATATTGTTGGCAGGTTTTGTGCATCTTGTCATGGCATGGTCTGGATCCATTCAGTGTGTTTTGGGCTGTAGGAAGTTGGCTTCTCATGATGAGGTTAGTGAGGTTCAGTGCTTGTTTGAATTTATAAACCACCTTTCACAGACGAGCCTATGAATTGCACTTCATCAACCTCCAAGGTACAGAAAGTCATGGACTCAATATAGACATTGGAATTCTGACACTACAACCTGCCTGACATCTGACTCCCCCGGTAACTCTCCACTTTTATCTGCTACATCCTCCTTCCACCCCCACATCCCAGCCTTTCCCTCACCCCCTGATGCTCCATTTCCATTTTCACTGACTGCCTTTCTTGCCTGCATTGCATGCCAGCCTCTGGCTTCTTTACTATTCCTTCCATCCAGGAACAGCACGCACACGTGCGCGTGCGCATGCACACACACACACACACACACACTCACTCTCACTCTCACTCTCACTCTCACTCTCACTCTCACTCTCTCTTTCTCCGCAAGTGCTTCCTCAGCCTGACGAAGGTTTTTTCAACCTGAAAGCTTGCTAAGATATATTTCTGTAACTATTCAGTTGGTCTACTAAAAGATACCAGATTAGTTTGACCCAAAGGAAAGCACCTTGTCTGCTAGTGCCAAGTCCTTAGACCAACACCCCTGGTACCTGACCAGAAGGACACAGCACCCTGGGCACATCTAAGCCCCAGGGCTGGGGCTGGCAGGAGAGTGCTCTGGCAGCTGCTGGAGAAGAAGCTCCTGCAGGAAAAGAAAGGCTCTGTTACAGTTTGGCTGCCTGAGATGCTGCCAATACTACGGTCCTGCTGCTCACTGTGTTATTATTTTACCTGTTATCATTTAAAGTGGTAGACTGGACTGAGGCTGTAGGGGAGGAGCCTCATTGGGGCACACTACCATGTCATGTAGAGGCCTCAGGAGCAGTGAGGATGCACCTTAAAACACATGTGGAAAAGAAACTGTCACAGTTTGGCTGCCTGAGATGCTGCTGGTGCTACTGTGCTAGTTCTCAATAAGTTATTTTATCACCTTGTCATTTAGTGGTGGACCAGACCCAGGCTGCAGGGGAGGAGGAGGCCTTATTGGGGCATACTACCATGTTGTGTAGGGGCCCCAGCACCAGTGAGGGTGCGCCTTAACACACACACAGTGTCACACATGTCACGAGTTTTGCTTGTCAGCAGCCTGAGATGCAATTTCCCACAAACTCCTGCACCTATCTCCTTGAAACCTGGCAAGTGTTATGGCCTCAGCAGGGGCTAGCCATGCCTGCAGTTTTCACCCTGCTGTGCCTTTATACATACACGTGACATGAGTTTTGCTTGTCAGCAGCTTGAGGTGTAGTTTCTCAGAAACCCCTGCAGCTATCTCCTTGAAACCTGGCAGACTTTGTGGCGTCAGCAGTGGCTACTATGCCTGCAGTTTTCACCCTGCTGTGCCTTAACACACACATGTGAAACGAGTTTTGCTTTCAAGACTTTAAGGTGCAGTTTTCCAGAAACTCCTGCACCTATTTCCTTGAAATGTAGCAGGCATCATGGCTGCAGAAGGGGCTACCATCCTTGCAAGTGTTATCTGAATCAGGCAAGAAATGGCAAAGTTATAGGCAGTTTTGTGCTTCCCCATTATAACCTATGGGCAAAACATTGAAACAGCTTCAAAACAGAGAAAGTTTCGATGAAACAAAACAGAACAGTGTTTTTGAAATTAAATGAAACACTGTCCTGTCGAAACAACATAGCAGAAGTTGAAATTAAATGGGGCTATTTCGCACAGCCCTAGTAAACTGTTAGGCAAACTAGCATGTAGTCATACAGGCAGCCTTCCCCCCACTGTCCTAGCATGGCTGGGTATTTTCTTTTGGTGGTGGTTGGTACCATGTAACTAACCTGCTCCCGAGCCAAATTCCCTGAAAGCATCATTTGAGGGGAAGAGTGTATCTACCTCTTCAAGAGTGCCCCCCTCAAGTAGAGCCTGGGTACCACAAACCAATGTATGGACAGCTGTTATATCTGTAATACAGAATATATCCTTGTTATGCTTCAGACAGTGAGTGTACAGACATTTAAGCTGTTTGTTGCATGATAAAAACCTTGGAAGTGCTGCAAGATAGAGCTTCTGCAATTTTGTAGCATTGCATGTAACATATATAGAGTTACACATAGTGTGACAGTGGTCTGCAGGACCCCCAGCATCCCAAAGTCCTCTGCTCTCCCTTCTCCATCCCTACATGGAGGAAGAGCAGATAGTTCCCTGATAGCCCACCCAGTGGTGGGCAGTCCAAGAGCCCTTCTGGGACCTTGCTGACTCCACAGCCACTGCAGGCAGCAAAGCTCCAGCTTCTGCTCCTCAGCTGATTGGCAAAACTGGGCAGGAGTGGCTCTGATGCACTGATAGGTGGAGCTCGGGCACCCGTAGCTCTGTGCAACCCATACTGCAGCTCTGCTGGCCACATGGGCTTGCTGGGCAGAGTTGATCAGTGACAGCCTACCACCTTCTCCAGCAATGAGATTAGACTCACCTAGGCACAGGGAGACTAGAGAAGCAACCCGCTATTGCCCTCTGGCTGGAGATCTCACCTTGAAGTTCACCTATACACTCCATTAGCATTACATTTTTGTAGTGCTACAAAGTGCTGATACACTTCGTAGCATTACAGATAAATGCCTGTATGTACCCTAAAGGAGCAAAATGTTTTACACTGACCTTGATCAGGTTGAAGCAAACAAAATTAAACATTGTTAGCATGATAAATATTTGCATTATCAGTCACCTGTATGTACTGATGTGAATCATCCCTTTTTAAAAACGTATGGTGAACAGGGGAAACGTTGTGTGTTACTTCATATGTTTGATATCATTGACTAGAGTGCCAGCATCATCGCTGATGGTTTAGAAATGTTTTCACACACAGCACCACACCAGTAATGAGCTGCCTCAATGTGGCTGCAGGGAAGAGGCACCAAGGAGTAAGGAAAATATGCTATGTGCTGGTGTGATTTTTTTTTTTTTTTTTTTTTTTAATTTTACTTGTACAGCTCTATCATCATTTCAGTTTGCGTCTAACTGTGCTCGCTGGCTTAGTAAACACACTGGCCCTGATCATGTGACGCACTGATTCCTTTCAACACCTTTTACCTGTGGTTCTTATTCTAATTGCTGTTTAACCCTCATCTCAGTGAGAATTGAGGACTTCTGGCACCCTACAGGGTTGGGCCAATTGTGGATGGTAAAAGGAAAATTTTGAAGCCTTCTGCTTCCTGCTGCTTTCAGACATTTTTGAAAATGATGTCTGGTGGGCAAGTCCAGTTACGCTGTTTATAAATTAGCTTGACAGATAAGAAATCTTGATATGTATTTTTTCATTTCTTGATATCATTCTACATCTTATTTTATCATCACCTATCATATTATCTGCAGCCTTTAGACTGGTGCTAGTTATATTATTTGAACTAATATTTTTAAATGCATTTTTAAATGCTTCTGAAAACCTAAATGTAATTCATTTCAGGGCTCTCTAAATGGCTAAGCTTAGGAATCCCTTAGCCACTGATGCATTACCCTGCAGGAACCTTAGGAAAAACTATTCAGTCACTCTGGCAAAAGTCTTATTTACTTCCATAGAGTGAGCATTTTACCATCTTTTCTTAAATGTATTCAGCAGTAACATTAGTATAGTATCTGTTCATCACACCTTCACATAGGTATGGTGAAACTTAAGTAATGTTTGTAACATACTTTGAACTTCTAGCATGAAAAGCAATACATGTTTTTGTCTGAAAGTAGTTTTCCTCAAATTTTCCACCAGTGCACAGTACCCTGTGCCGGCTTCAATAGCAGCTGTAGGGTGCTCATTATTTCTGAAAAGCAAGCCATTAATTTGTCTCTGTCTCAGCTTTTCTTTCCTAATAAGGGTGATGATAATACCAACCTAACTTGCAATGATTTTGCAAACTTTAGTTCATTAGCAGGTTTTTAAAGCCCTTAGAGATCTTTGGATAGAAGGTGCAGTAGAACACAGGAGGTGGGTCCCCATGTGCAGGGGCATATGCTTGTAGAGGCACAAATAACAACACAAATTTGTTCCTCTGCTTTGTGCCCCATCACAGACCCCTACACATGCACTTTGGCATGTAACAAATTGTCCTGGGTAGGGGAGGCTGGGGTCAGCACCTGTGCTGGCCCCAGCAGTATTACTTGGTGTCCTGGTGCAGCAGGGGCACAGATCTAGAATCACAGAGCCTGGCCGGCAACCAGAGCATTGCTCTGGATGGCCAGCCCCCCATTTTTTCCAGTGCACGTATGATCTGCACCGCTTTTTTCCCAGGAGGGTTGTTTTTTTTGCTACCAGGATTTCTTGGTAGCAAATTTTGCTACCTCTTGCACATTTTCACATTTCCCGTGTACAGTTTGTGGTACCGCATGCACGTGGGAACCCACCCAGGCGGTCAGACTTTAGGCTCCCTCCAAATAGGTTCCTGATAATGTAGATTACAATTATCAAAATTTTCTGTATCCAAAGTTAATGAGTAGTGCCTCCAAATGGATTGCAGGCCAGACACTGATGAAATAGATTGCAGAATTAGCAAGTGCTTGCAGATTCTGATTTGGTCTGTCAGGTATCACTTTGATCCTAGCAATGCCAGCCAAAGCTGATTCTCAGAAAGAATGAAAATTATAGTTAGAGGTACCTGATCATTTCAGACTTTTATAAGTCTCAATGTTATTGCAGAGATGGTAAAGCACCAAGGAAAGTAGAGGCTCTTATTTTTCTCAGTGAGTTTAATAGTCGCTAATATCAAGGGCTATTTATTTTTGTTACCTGTGATACTGATAAATATTTTATCAAGAGACCATGATTTCCAGTGTAAGCTGTTCTCCTGCCTTATACCATAACATACTGTATTTTGTTTTTTTCTGAAGACAAGTTCATATTTCACATCCAGTGCTTTTCCATTGAAAATCTCCTTCATCAATGCAGATACAGCAAGTAGAAATATCAATGTGATTTTTAAGGTAGGTTCACACTAATAACCCCAATTCTTTTTTCTTCTTTTTCTTTAAAACTCATTGAAATAATATTGCTTTAAACCTCATTGAAAGAAAATATTTCAGATCTAGTGTTTGAAATGTTCGGTTTAGGTGAGCTTCTCAGTTTTCAAGATGCTGTTTGATGTTAGACTTTATATAATATTTTTAGGAAATACATTGACGCATCCAAATTTTTGACTAGTAAAGAATCAAATAACTGCTGGGAAAACTGCATTTTTTATACTTTGTGGAGTGAGCCAGGATAAGTGACAAAGGACAACACAAGTTATTTTCCCTCTTGGGGTTAAAAAAACCACAGTCTAGAGCTGTGGTTTTGGGACTTGAGGCACGCATTACTGGACTCAAGACACCCCTTCATAACTTTTCTGAACTTTTCTCCCAATTTCAAAAGCTACATTGTAGATGAGAGTGCTTGTTTCCTTGCAGAGGGGTCTGGCAGTGGGGATGTGGGATCATCCAGGCAGGGACAAGTGTAAGCCTACACTTATCTTTTTAGTTTGAAAATCACTGGCCTAGAGAAATGTTCGCTCAGGCCTTCATGATATGTCTGTCTACAGCAGTCCGTCTGTAGTATAATATCCCTAGTGAACCAAAATACTATTGTGTTAGAGGCTGCTTTTGGCACTAATATCCAGATCCTATTCCTGTAGTGTAACTAGGACTGGAGTGCTGACTTAGAGAGGGCACAAGAATGTGCCCCACTCCACAGGGCCAAAGCTTTCTAGGTCTGCCGTCATCCTATTCCACAAAGCAGGTGCCTAACGGTCCCTACTAGTGATCCTATTCTACCCTACTCAGTTCCCTGAAAGTCTCTTAATGCACCTGCTTTTGTATCATGCTGTCACCCCACCCTGAAGCCTAAGTCAATAAAAAGCAATGAGGAAGAGAACTACACACCTACTGTTTGCATTGACTGTGTTTCAGGGACATGAATAGGGTAGAATAGAATTGTATTTATGCTCCTAAATCCTAACAGATAGAAAGGGTTCTGCCCTAAAGTATTGGGATTGATTTTTCCCTGTCAGTGTTGCATGAGATTGAGATAGAATGGCAAAAGAGGTGAACTGTGTGATACAAGTCCATTGCTATCTTCAGGGTTTTGGAATGAAACTCAGGCTGCCATGCTTCTATACATGCAGACAAAAAAAATACACATTTAATCTCAAATTACTTCTATTTTAGATTAAGGAAAATGGCAGAACTAAAGCATCCATGAGACTGCACAGTGTGGTTGTCTGTGTAGACCATACAAGCTGAAGAGCACCAAATTGCTGCTATCTTTAAAAATGGTGGTAGTTCTAAGAAATGTTATAGCACTATGTGCAGAAAGCTGAAGTCTACACAGTTTAAATTTCTTGTCAGTGGCATGACAGGGCAGCTGCAGTACATGGGGCAATGGCAGCTGCAAATGATGCAGCTAGCCAACAGTGACAACACCACCTAAGTGGCCACGCTGGGTTGCTACTCCGATTGACCTCTCCATAGTTATGCTGTCTTTTTGTACTATTAAGATATAATTGGCCTTTCATACAGTTTTACAATTGGCCATGGCATAGGAACACAAAAAATCTTCAAGCATGCTGGAGGAAGAACAGCTATCTTGCTTAAATACACATGTAGGAAAGCTGTGTACCACACTATATTTCCATCTCAAACCAGTACGTTAAAATGTCAGGTGTCACCTCACTTCACTCCAACACACACCCCTAGGCTAGTGGCACTAGTACGCCCCAGAAAGCTCAGGCGAGGGCATGCATGCTATGTCTACCTCCACTGCAAATGTGTAATGGAGTTTCTTACCTGCTGTCATCCAGGTACTTGCGTGTAGAGGTAATCATAATGTGTCCCAGAATACAATTCACTATTTGTTAAAAGGTAATACTTTAATAAAATAGTAACTATTGGTCTTGTTCTAGATTATACACTATGTGTGCGTGGTGAGCAAACACAGAAAGACTTCTCTTCAGGTCTGAATACTAAGCAGAATTAATTGGAATCTAGATTAGCTCTAAATTAAAGAGAAATGGATTTGAAAACAATAAAGGGAAATTTATGTCCCCTCATGTACTCATTTAGTGGCAGTAAATGTCTGTAAATTGCAATACTTCTATAAAAGGAACATAATAAAAGACCAAAGCAGCTTAATGTGACTAAAAGATAGCAATTTATGAAAGACTTTTTAGATGAAAGCTAAAAAATAGCAGTAAAACCCAGATGTACTTTAGATATAGGGGGGGAGGGGAAAAGCAGGGCTTTTATTTTCACAGGCCATTTACCCAGCTATGGTGAAAAATAATCCCTTCATTACTTCTTGTGGCTACAATTAAAACCTGATTTCTCTAAGATTATCATTTAACTGACTCTGTGGGGAGAGCAGTCAGCATTGCATCGCTGTTTGAAACTGCATATGAATCATGTCACGGATAAAATTTACATTCATAATAAGATTCCCTTTTAGCCTGTTACAAATACCAAGTTATGAAACTTAGTATCAGTTCAAATATTGTTATTTCTAAAAAAGGGATCTGGTATTAGATTGTCTTAAAATTTAAATACATAAAAATCCATTCTCCCAGATAGATTTCAAACACAAATAGATACATGTGAGTAATCAACTAAAAGATTGCAGTAGGTGAAATGACAAATGATACCATTTTTGTTGCTGTCAAAACACTTTCAGCTTGAGTATATTGTCCCAAAACACAGAGAAGAGTAGTAGCATTGAGGTAGAAAGGGGTGTGTCATTGAGATTTAAGGAGAAATTTTGTTTCCTGCCATTTTTTCACAGATGGGAGATGATCTACGTCAAGATATGCTAGTTCTGCAAATTATTCGAGTGATGGACAGGATTTGGTTTCAGGAGGGACTGGATATGCAAATGATCATTTATAGATGTTTATCTACAGGAAAAGGCCAAGGTCAGTGTATAGATTAGAAAGGGTTTGTTTATTACATTATTCATATCTCATGTAAATCAGTAATACACAGAACTCCTTCCTTCCACATTTATTTCCATGTCTACATTTTTCTCCTCTTAAAGGCAAAAGGGTGCACAGAACCTCTCATAATTGAGTCTTAGGTTTATGTTTGTTAAGTTCATTTCTTCTTGTCCCCCAACCCCAACCTCTCATTCCACTGCCCCCTAATCTGAAGAAAAGCAACTCTAGCTAGTGATATTACTTAACAGCTTAAGCAAGAATTTTCACCAAAACAAAAATTGAAAAACCTCTGTTTATTCCAATTGGTGCCAGATTTTTTTTAAAGTACTCCACTAACTTTTAGTTCTGAAGTGTGAACTTTTGGAAGTCTGGCCTTGGGAACTGCTTGATAGTGAGAGGGTCAGCAAGTTCAGCCCCTATTTAGGTGCCAGACTTGCTTGAATGGGAAGTGAAGTATTTTGGAAATCTGGCTCCACATGCTGATGGAAAGAAGCTCTTGACTAATAAAGAACCAGAAACTAGGGCTCTGTGAAATTTTGGGAGCCATTTCATTTTGGAGGTGTTTCAGGCTATTTTGGCGCTTGAAACACCAAATCCAAATCAAAACGGAAGGCTCCAAAGCAACTCCGAAATGAATTGGAAGGCTCTGAAATGTTTTGGAACTGTTTTGGAGAATTTTGGAGTTTCAGAGCTGGGCTTGCAAGGAAACAAAAACTAAGAAGAGGGAGGGGAATGAGGTGGGGAAGGATGGCTCTGATATTGACATCTAGCTCCCAGTTCAATTCTCCAGCTCTTTACCCCATCATTACCCCAACTCTTCCTGGGGGGTGCAGACCCCCGACCTGCAACCAGGGTTTCAACAGGCTGCCGCTGCAGACTGGTGCCAGCAGCAGCTGTTTGGCGCAGCCCACGCCGAATGACTGCAGTGCTGCCGCTGGCCCCAGCCTTCAGCGGCAGCCTGCTGAAACCTAGCATGCAGATCCAGGGGCCTGTACCCCCCGGGAAGAGCTGGGGGAATGATCAGAGAGCCAGGGAATTGAACCAGGGGCTGGAGAATCAAACAGGGAGTTGGGAATTGGACTTCTCCAGAGAAATTCTCCAGGGAATTCTCCAGAAGCTGGAGAATTGGACTGGGGGCTGGGCAATCCCTACCATGTAACAGCTCTGCAGGGAGCAGAGATCCACACCAGGGTCTCCTCGCCACCGCTGCCCGCCCCGTGCAGCCCCACATCACTGGGGCAGTGCAGGGCAGGCAGCGGTGGCAAGGAGACCCTGTGTGGATATCTGCTTCCTGTGGAGCCAAGTCACATGGCAGGGACCAGCAGGCTTGCTCGCTGCTCTGTGCTGCTTCCCTGCCCCATGACCTGCCATGTCAGGGATCAGAGATTTGCGCGGGGGTCTCCTTGCCTACACAGAGGGCAGTGGCTCTCCCCCTCCCTTTCCCCTGGACAAGCCACCCATGGCCCCGTCCTGCTCCCCACTGGGGCCTGCAGCCCCAGACCCCAAGCCCTGCCCAGCTGAGTAGGGCTATGCGAACCTTCCCTTGCACCGCAATCAAAACAGATTCAGAGGAGATTCGGTGGAGCTGAATCTCCAAGACAGATTCAGCCAAAACGAAACAGGACAGTGATCCGAAACACCAAAATGAATCACTGTCCTCCGAAACAGCCAAATCTGAAACCGAATCGAAACGCACCCATTTCGCAGAGCCCTACAGACAACCCCCAATGTTGATTTTGAAATACCACTTTGGATATTAATGCATCTTAGGGCAGCAAATCTTGTAGACTTTACACCTTTCCATTATGGTTTGCTATAGCAAAGCCATAGCAGGGATGCCGATTGCTGCCTGAAGAAATTTACTGACAGCAAAAGACTCGCACTATTTTTTTAATTACTTTTCAAATCTTTTACTGAATGCAATTCTAGCACAAATAAATAGATTCATAGACGTTAGGGTCAGAAGGGACCTCAGTAGGTCATCAAGTCCGACCCCTGCCCTGGACAGAAAAGAGTGCTGGGGTCAGATGACCCCAGCTAGGCATTTGTACAATCTCCTCTTGAAGACCCCCAGGGTAGGGGAGAGCACCACCTCCCTTGGAAGCCCATTCCAGATTCTGGCAACACTTACTATGAAAAAGTGCTTTCTAATATCCAACATAAATCTGCTCTCCATCAATTTGTGGCCATTGTTCCTAGTTACTCCAGGGGGTGCCCTAGTAAACAAAGCATCTCCTATTCCCTGCTGCCCTCCCCTGATGAATGTGTAGGCAGCCACAAGATCACCTCTCAGCCTTCTCTTGCAAAGGCTGAAGAGATCTAGGTCCCTCAGTCTCTCCTTGTAGGGCCTTACCTGCAGGCCTCTGACCATACAAGCGGCCTTCCTCTGAACCCTCTCAAGATTCTCCGCATCCCTTTTGAAGTGCGGCGCTCAAAACTAAATGCAGTACTCCAACTGTGGCCTGACCAGTGCCACATAGAGGGGAAGCATCACCTCCCTGGACCTGTTCGTCATGCATCTGCTAATACATGATAAAGTGCTGTTAGCTTTGTGTAATCACTTCATCACATTGACAACCCTTGTTCATCTTGGAGTCAACTATGACTCCAAGATTCCTTTCTGCTGCTGTGCTGCTGAGAAGGTCATTCCCCAGCCTGTAAGTGTGTTGGTGGTTCTTTTTGCCCAGGTGCAGCACTTTGCACTTGTCTTTGTTGAACTGCATCCTGTTTTGTTCTGCCTATTTTTCCAACCTGTCTAGATCTGCCTGGATCTGTTCCCTACCCTCTGGTGTGTTAACTTTGTCCCATAATTTGGTATAATCTGCAAACTTGGACAGGGTGCTCTCCATGCCCTAATCCAAGTCACTGATCCAAGTCCATGCCCTGATCCACCACTCCATGCCCTGATCCAAGTCACCATTGAATAGCACTGGTCCAAGGACTGAGCCTTGTGGGACTCCATTGCCCACGTCTTTCCAGGTCAATATCAACCCATCCACCACCACTCTGGGTGTGACCCCTAAGCCAGTTTGTCACCCATCTGACCATGTTAATCATGGACATCACAGCTGGTCAGTTTATTTACAAGAACAGAATGAGATACCATACCGAAGGCCTTCTTAAAGTCTAGGTGGATGACATCTACCTCAACTCCTGCATCTTGCATCTAAGCATTTTGTGATCTGGTCATAAAAAGAAACAAGGTTAGTCAGGCAGGATCTACCAGCAATGCATCCATGCTGATTTCCTTTCAGCATTATTTCCCCATTAGGGGTCCTTAATGATTTTTTCCATAGTTTTCCCGAGGATAGAGGTGGTGAGACTAACTGGCCTACAGTTTCCCGGTTCCTCCCTCCCATTCTTGAAAATAGGGACCACAATGGCCCTTTTCCAGTCTTCTGGGATCTGACTGGAGCACCATGAGTGCTTGAATAGCCATGCCAGCAGCTCTGCTATGACACTGGCCAATCAGCACCCTTAGATGAAGTTCATCCGGGCCCACTGATTTGAACACATCCAGCCCCTCCAAGTCGCCCTTCACTAAGTCTGCACTAACAGTTGGTGGTTTGGTGTCCCTCCTTTGTCTATCCATGATCCAATTGGGAGGTTTGATTTGATCTGTGTCTGGAAATACAGATGCAATGAACTCATTGAAGAGCTCAGCTTTGTCCCTCCTCTCTGTCACCAATTGCCCTAGTTTGTCCCCTAGGTGTCCTATGCTACCATGTGCCTTCCTTTTGCTCCCGACATACCTGAAGAAGGACTTTCTGTTGTCCTTAATTTTTTTTTGCCAGCTAAGTTCTAATCCTGCTTTGGCTTTCCTAACTGATTCCCAGCAAGTGCAAGCCAGGGAAGTTTACTCCTCCTTGGTGGCTACCCCGTGTTTCCACAGCCTGTATACCTCTTCCTTTGTCTTTAGGGTTTACTAGACTTCCCTGTTCAGCCAAGAGGGCCCCAAGAGGGAATTTGCCCCACTTTATGCACAATAGGATTGTCTCCTTCGGTGCCCATAGGTTCACTCTCTTGAGGAATGACCACCCTTCCTGGACCCCCATTTCACCAATGCTCTTGAGTTTTAACACCTCACTAACTAATCTCCTGAGCACAATGAAGTTAGCCTTGATGAAGTCCAGTAGTTCAGCCCTGCTGGTTAGTTTACCCACCCTTCGCCGGATAGTGAATTCAATCAATCGATGGTCATGATCCCCTAGGTTTCCTTGTACCTACCAGGTCCCAGATCCCCACCAGGTCATCCCCTGTAGCTAACACCAAGTCCAGCAAGGCATTTACCCTAGTGGGATCATATACCTCCTGCATTAGGTGGAGGTCCTGTATGCAGGTTAAGAACCTAAATGAGCGGTTAGATTAGGCTGGCTGCTGCTCCCAGCAGATGTCAGGGTAGTTTAGGTCACCCATGACAACCATATTGCTTGACATGACAGCCTCTGAAAGCTGTCTGGAGAATTCCAGGTCTAGCTCCTCCTCCTGGTGTGGCAGTCTATAGTAGACCCCCACTACCAAGTCTTTTCCACCCAACCCTATTGTATCCTGACCCACAGTACCTTGGTTTGGCCCTCCTCTGATCCCATCTTGATTATAGAGGATGTATATTGTTCCTTAACATAGAGAGCAACACCCCCTCCCTTTTTTCCCCTCTCTATCCTGTCTGTACAACCTGTAAACCTCGATGCCAACTGCCCAATCATGAGTAGGGTCCTGCCAGGTTTCAGTCAGTCCAACCAGGTCGAAGTTTTTGCTTGCAAGCAGGAGTTCAAGTTCCTCCTGCTTGTTCCCCATGCTCCTAGCATTAGTGTAGAGACATTTAAGCCTCCTACTGATGTGCCCAGATTATCTACAGCACAGGAACTGAAAATCGTTTCTGTGGCCTTTTTGTGGCCACAGAAACTAAAACCAAAATCTGTGGCCTTTTTGACCACATAGCAGAGAAACTTAGGAGAATGAGAAATGCAAGCATGCCATGGAGAAATCCCAGGTGGTTAGCAGAATCCTAAAAAGGTGTCCTGGTCATCTTTCCTTTCTTTATAGAGGAAGATTTTGCTTCAAAAGAAAATAAAATTGAAATATCATTTCTACACAAGAAAGACCAGTTGCTGTTGTATACTAACGCTCAATTTCATCTTTTTTTTAACAAAAGATTTGGGGATTGCCTGAAAACAATGCCATATTTACACACATACCATACCTTTTACTCACATACCTACCTTTTCCCAAAAGACAGCCCTCCAAAACTGGAGGACTCTTAGAGCCACTCTAATTAAAGTACCACCCTCCCCACCCCTGGAGCACCTGTAAAAGTGTCTGTAAAGCTTATTGAAAAGTATGTATGGTTTCTGTGTGGGCTGATAGGGTGATGTGTGATATGAATTAATGAACATTTTCTCTCTCTTTAAACTTGAAAGTTTTTCTTGTGGACTCTGTCTCTCTGATTAGGATTGGTACAGATGGTACCAGATGCTACAACTCTAGCCAAAATCCACAGGGAGTCCGGACTGATAGGACCATTAAAAGAAAACACCATTAAAAAATGGTTCAGTCACCATCACCCTTTGGAATCAAGTTACCAAGAGGTATATTTTAATGCAACATATTTAAAAATGGTTTATTATACAAATAAAAACAGTTGATGCAACAATATGCTCAGTCTACTGGATTCGGGATAAACAGATCACACACGCAATAGACTCCCAATTTCTCTGAGTAGGAAGGGGCTAGATTCAATGCCATTCATCTTCAACAACAGTAGGTCAGAAAGACATTAAAAATTGAAATGGGGAGATACAGATGTTAAAAACAAGAACAAACACTGAACCTACATACATTTTAACTTTTATTTTAATCCAGCTAGTGAAATAGGTTTTTGGTTTTTTTTACATATAATTACAAAAAGAATGGCTTTTCTGTATTTGAGAATGTCCACATCCATAATCACAGTTTTAGAAAGCTATATTTTCACTAGGCTCCCCTTGTAATATGATATATCAGGTCATGCTTGTCATGTTACGTTATGAGATCCTATGCAACACAGCTGGTTTTATACAACCTGGTGTTACACTTCAACCAGGAAATAAGGAAACAATATTTATAGAACCAGAGGTCTCTCTCTGAAGGAAATAAGCCATGAAGTCTCCTTTACACATTCTTGTTAGAAGGGACACATCCTAAAGTCCATGGAAAGACTTTCTGATACCTTGTATTTCTAAAACCATTTCTGAACCTCCCCTCATGCTTGCAATAGATGGGTACCAATTTTTTACCCAAGTTTAGAGTGGAGGCAGCTATCAACTATTGATTTAAAAAACCTGTGTACTTGTTTTTTAATGGTTCAAATGATCTAGAATTTTCTAAAACAAATTTGCAACACAGTGGGCATGTCTACATTAGACACGTACTGCGCATTAGCCTAAAAACACTGTGCAGTAGTGTGGCAGTTAAAAACCCATGCTAATAGCCTACTGTGCAGTGTTATTAGGCTAATGCACACTAAGCATCATGAAAAAAACATGTACCAGCACTAGTGCACAGTAACTCTAGTTACTGTGCATTTAGTTAGTACTTTTTTAAGCAAGTACTAAACTAAATGCGCAGTACCTAAGGTGCATTAATGAACGTGTAGACGCACCCAGTTACTAAAGCTAGGCAAAATTTCGGTGGTTGTTTCATTTTAGAGATGTTTTGGTGCCCAAAACATTGAACCTGAAATGAAAGGGAAGGCTCCAGAACATCTCCAAAATAAAATGAAACCATCCGAAATGTTTCAGAAAGGTTTTGGATGTTTCAGAGCTGGGCTTGCAGGGAAACAGAAACTAAGAAGAGGGAGGGGGAAGCAGGGCGAAAGGACTGCTCTGATACTGACATCTGTAGCTGGCCAGTGTCTGGAATCTGTCCCTGAGGTCTCTTCCAATCCCAGTGTTCTGGAGGATGGACAGCAGTCTGCTGTCATTCTGCATTCAGATCCAGGGGCCTGTGCCCCCCGGGAGGAGTCTGGCACAGCCCTGCAACACTCCCGGGGGGTGCGGGCCCCCAGATCGGCATGTGGAATAACAGCATGCTGCTGGCTGGGACCCACGCCAGCACCTGAGTCTGCTCGGCTTAGCTTGCAATGAGCACCGCTAGGGGAGCTGCAGGAGAAGCCCCTATCGTTGCTCTGCCCAGCCCCATCCCTCACCCAGCCCCAGCCCCCTGGCACTTTAAAATTAAAAAAAAAGAGCCCTGCAGTCATCAGTTGCAGCAGCAGTGATAGGGGCCTCTGGGTGCTCATGGCAGAGCCACCCTACACATCGTGGGGCAGTGGGGGGCAGCAGGGATTGGCCCCCCGCCCAGCAGCACCCAGTGAGTCAATGGGTGCAGCATGGCTCAGCAAGGCACTACACGCTGTCTGGGAAATGGGGCTGCTGGGTCTGAGTGCTACTGGGCTCTGGCTGACTGCTAGAGCTGCCTCAGCTCCTAGACAGCGCACACTGCTCTGCCAAGCTATCCTGCACCCACGCCATGGGGCAGCTGCTACGTGGGTGCCAGGTTGGGGGGCAATCCCCGCTGCCCCCCACTGCCCTGCACTGCCCTGTGCTGCATGGGGGGACTCTTCCACGAGCCCTCAGAGGCCGTGATCGCTGCTGCCAGAGCCAGTGACTGTAGTGTTTTTCTTTTTTCTTTTTTTTAAAGTGCCGGGACTAGGCTGGGGCTGGGCAGGGGATGGGGCCAGGCAGGGCAGTCATGGGGGCTTCTCCCATGGCTCCCCCTGCCCAGGGAGAGGCAGGCACAGCCAGCGGAGCCACGGGAGAACTTGCAGGCACCTGGCTGTGCCTGCCTCTCCCTGACTAATCCAAATCTCCGAAACAGTATCGAAACTCCGGAACAGATTCGGCCAAATTGAAACACCGAAATGAATCACTGTTCTCCAAAATGGCCAAATCCAAAATCAAAATGAGACATAGCCATTTCGCACAGCCCTACCCATTACTTTTACTTTTTAGGTAAATGAAGTACAGTCAGTTCTGACTACACAAAAATATGCAATTTTTGTATGTACTTATAATTAAATGAATTTCTACCCTCCCCTTGGTAATATTACTTTTGCTTGTATAACAGTTTTTAATCCAAGCATCTCAAAAAGTTCTGTAGGTAGTTAAGCCTTCCTATCCTTCTTTTACAAAGGCACAAAAAGTTTAGGTGACTTGTCCAAAGCTATACAGTGACAAAATGGCACAGTTTAGGAATAAAACACAGGTGTCCTGAATTCTGGTGCTGTTGTCTAACCATTCCAGAATGCTTCCCTCCAAATCTGTATCTAGATTTAGCACCACTTCATTAAGATCACTAATACTTAAGCAGTTATTTATCTTGGATTGTGTGACATAAGGATAATACAGTATTGTAAGCAATGAGATTTTGACTGCAAAATTAATAACCACGAAGTAGAATTTATTGGAGCTTTATATAAAAGACTCACATTACTCCTGAGACAAATAGTTTAGTAGGATTCACTGGAGATTCAGATTCTTCAAAGTGTCATCTGGAGTTAGGACAAATCCCTCACCCACCCCTTTTCTATGGTATAGTAATAGAGAAGTATTCTGCAGGAGTAGTTGAACAGGTTCCTTTGGGGGAAATTTCAATTAGGCACTGAAGTTCTGGTATATAAGCCACTGAAGTCAATGAGGAGTTTTGGATCAGCCCCTCAGTGAGTTTTTAGTGGTTAGAGCAAACATATCAGAATCAGGACTTGTTTTCTAAATCACTGACATATTGGGCAGTAACTTAACCTTTCTGTGTCTCATGCTCTTTCTCTGTAAAATGGGGTTGTAATCCTTATCCAGGGATGTTGTAAAGCTTAATTAATTAGTTCATGAAGTTAATTGAATTCTTGGATGAAAGATTTTGCCTATTTAAAATCAACCATTTTTAGATGGAGTAACTGGTCAGACAAATCGCTGATCTGTTATACTTTGGTAGTTGCCCCACTCTTAATTTAGTCCCTAATTCTGCAAAACTAAGGCCAAATCTAACTTTAAGCATATTTGGACGTGCTTGGTTTTAATGTTGGTACCACACACAAACACTTGTGTTCTTTCTTTTTATCAATTAGGCAGTAAGGAATTTCTTCCATTCCTGTGCTGGCTGGTGTGTTGTTACCTTCATCCTGGGTGTCTGTGACCGACATAATGACAACATCATGCTGACAAACACTGGCCATATGTTCCATATTGATTTTGGGAAATTTTTAGGTCATGCACAAAAATTTGGAAGCATTAAAAGGTTGGTCCCTATAATAAGATTACTTATAAAGTTTAAAGTAGTTCCAGTGATTATTATAAATGCTCATGAGCACTGTAAAGAAGTCCATGCCTTGTTTGTCTCCTGAAACTTTTGCAACGTCATGCACAGCAATTTTTACACTATTATCAAGATGAATGGCTGAGGTATGAAAACTTTCTTTTAGGTCAGTGGTTTGAATCTGATGCACCATAGCAGTGGCCAAAATCAGTTACCATCTAGTGTCTGGATTATGTTGAGAAGTTTCTTTGTTGTGGTTCTATTTCCAGTAGACAGGAAGTATATGACAAATCCAGACCAGAGCTGGGTATAATTGATTTCCTATTGTCACATTCAACATAGAGGCCAAACGCTGTGAATGTGTGTAAAGAATCAATATGCTCTCACGTGTAGGGTGAAACTATGGTCATGGTCATGGGCCTTTTGCCACTATGAGCCATGTTATACCTTACACTGTGAACCAAACAAATGTTGATTGGTGTTAGTGGTAGTTTCAGTTTGGAGCAGTCACACTTCAGGCTAGCAGGGGCCTGGAGGACTGAAAGGTAAGAATTGCCACCCCCCCACCCCCATTCTGGGCCTCCTCTCCTGCCCCCAGGACTCCACCAGTCCTGTCACCCCCACTCCAGGGCTCATTTCCTGCCCCTCAGGGTTCCTCCTGCCTCCTGCTTCCCCCTGCCCCTGGGGTATTACTTACTTGTGGCTGCCCCTGCTATCTGTCCCAAGGAAGCAGGCAGGGAAGAATTAATCTGCCTGCCCAGCTGCTGCTGGGCTGCTCCTCTGGCCTAGAGAGCAGCAGTAGTGACAGTGGCCAGCCAGGCAGTTTAACACTTCCATGCCTGCTTCCCCAGGATAAATAGTGCAGTAGCCCTAATCTGGACCAAGGAGGGTGGGTGGGTTGTTCACACTAAGGTGTAGCCTAAAGTGGCTACACCCTAGTATAACACGATCTGGTAACACAGATCAAAGACAATCCTGCCCTAAAGTTATGTAACTATTAGCCACATAATACTTACATAAATTCAATTTAAGGTGTTAATGTGAGGACAATCAATGGGTTAAGAGCTCCAGGAGCCACCTAAAATTCCAGTGCAACAATGCCCTGACTTTGTAGTTGTAATTAATATTTGCAGTGTAAACCCAAACTCCATTGAAGTACTAAGATATAATGTAGAAACTCTCATGGCCTTTACCAATATTATAAATATTCTGCAGTTATATACACAGTGCATCCCCTATTCTGGCTCTTTTTTGGTAATTTCACTATGAAGAAAGAAATTAGAATGAAATTCTGATAACTGCAGTTTGCCTAGACATTTCAATAGACCTTTGTAGCAATGTGTATAGATGCTAAGCATCTCCTCTGAGTAAAGTGGGGAGTCCTCCTTTCACCTTTCCTAATGATTTACCTGAACTGGCCTCAGAATGGATTGGCTTGAATTAATCATTCCTTTTTTCATTTTGGTTTTCATTTGACTATTTTAGACTATCTCTGCATGTTAGACAGAAATAACATTGTGGGCGTATGGATGTGAAGGAGGCTGATGTGGCTAATAAATAGTTCTGAGCCATGCAGTCAAAAGATTTAGTTGCAGTGTTCAGAATTAGTGTCAGTCATTCCAGATATGCTCTCTTAATTTCCCTTATTTACTATGGAAAGAATTACGCACAGCAGAATCACAAAGAGATATGCATGCACCCACTGAGTCATGTGCTGGGCTCTCACTGGCAAAGCTCCTATTGGAATCAGTCCAGAGTTCCCTTAAATGACAATTTTGTGAGAGCAAAAAATGATTTAATAGGAGAGAGGGAAATTTGGTCAACTGAATGCAGTAGGACATATAACACCCAAAGGTTAGGCAAGAATGCTATAGTAATAATTGACATTAATAATAGAATTATAGTATACATTTGTATTTAATCTAAAACGCTATTTAAAATTGTAATTTAATTAAATACAGGCATTTTGTTTCATATAGCTTGTTGCTTTTTTTTTTTTTTTTTTTTTAATTTTCTAACACCCTTAAAATACTCCTTCTGGTTAATTCATGCTTCTTCATGAGGAATAGGATTAATATATTTTCTGTTGGCTGCAAACACTAGGAACCAATGTGCTTCCTGCCCACCCCCACAAATAGGGTTAAGATAAATGGCTGTCGTACACATGAGAATTGTGTGTCTTTCATCAAATGTATATTGCAGATATACATGCACTGAGACATGGATTTCAGGTTTCCATTGCCCACAGAGCTCAAACTTTCATAAGCATTTAAATTTTCCATTCTATTTTTGTCCATCCATTCTTTTATAATACACAGAGCAAATTTTGGGAAAGTATTAGTCTGTTTTAATGACCATTTACTAGGATTTTAGCTCAGTACTCCAAACCTTATTTGCCTTTTAACCATGATTTTATAGTAATAATTTCATTACTAAAGTAATGTCAGTAAAAATAGCAACAAAACTTCTGAAACCTCAGTGTTGTTTGTGCTGAATTTGGGTTTTCCCCTACAATAGATCTAATATGTGTTGCAATGAAGTACCTTGAGGAAACTTTAAAAAATCAGTAGCTCATAAGGATTTCCATCTCATAATGGAAATCCTTGCTCATACAAGTAGAAAAGATATCAGAGTTTTTTTCACATTTTTAATGAATCAACTTCTGTGAGTAAAGCTTTTCAGGAAAAGAAGTCCCCTCTTTGTGATGATTACAACACCATGCTATCTCTCTCTCTTTTTTCCCCATGAGTTAAGGAAAGTGACTTGCTTACTACAGATCTAAATGCCCATGGTGCATTCTCAAAAGCTGGAGCTTGCAAGTAGCAAACACTGGTCCCTCATAAAGTATCATAAGAAAATGCTTTCTAAAGCATTCTGTGTTCTACTGTAAGTTAACTGAAAGAATAGAGTAGCCTGAAGAATTAAGGGCAGCAAATTCTTCCAGCCTATCTAGTATAATTCTGAAAAGGAGCTCTTGAAGGTGAGATGATTCAGGTAACCTGAAAAAGTTTAGAAAAACACTAGTTTCCACAATTAAATAACATGCAAAGATTGATCATAGAACAATATGCAAAAGTTGGGTCACCTAAATGATCCAGTTCACTATCCCCATTAAGGGTGTGGACAGAAGTAACAAACTAAATGTTTCAAATGCCTTTAAAACATTTAAAAGGGCCAGCTCTACAACACACATGCCCATTAATATCTTTCAAAAGCAGGTGAAGCCCTCCAAAAGAGTACCTCTTTACATGACATACCATTCTAAAGCATTTAAGTTCTTGTCATCATTATTATTGTTGACATTGGTGATTCCTCATGGCTGAGGATGATCACTCCCACAGCTCAAGTAAATAGTTGTAGATGAGTCCATTGAAGGCTAAGAAGGTTGATCCCAGAGCCACAGACTCTTTGACAGATGCAACAAATTTTGGTTAAAGGGAGGGTCGAACCACAGTTTTCTCAGTCTTGTTTCCTTTCCTTCCATTTCTGTCATTTTTCTGGCTCCACAGTAAGACAGTTTTCCTCAAAAAGAGATGCACCTTCTCTCACAAGGCATCACCATGTAGCTCTGTCCTGGGCTAGTTTTTCCCAATTTGTGATGTCAATGCCACACTTCTTAAGTTTGCCTTGAGGGTGTCCTTGAAGCATTTTCTCTGGGGGGCCCCACATGTCTTTTGTCCTTGGGACCAGTGGGAGAAGCCTGCACATGACTTATTTTACATGAGGGAGGCCATTGTGCATCAGCAACCACACAGATCTTGGCAGAGGAGAAACCTGTGACCAGAAGATCTAAGACAACTGGGGCTGGTACATTTCCTTTTTTTAAAAGTTTCCAATACATTTCACTGGGAAATGTTTCAGAAATTACTTCTGTCTTCATTGCAAATCTCTTCCATTTTTAGTCAATCCTGCTCTTGCGAAAACTAATAGTAAAATTCCCATTGACTTTAGTGGTCATTGGATCCAGGAGTGGATCCTCAAAGGGCCGTGCACACCCATAGGGCAGCATAAGGCTTTAATTATAATAATATCCTACTTCTAGCAGTGTTCAAAATAAGGGTTAGGAGTTGATATACAATGTGTATAGTCAATAGTATAACACTGTTCTTGAGAAGAAAATCATTTCCCAATCTCAGAGCACTCTTAGACAATGAAACATGAGTAGAGCCCTACCAAATTCATGGTGGAAGTGGGCTGTGCTGTGGCTCCTTTGATCTTGCAGGTTCCCCTGCATATCTCCCCATGGCAGCAGGTGAGAATATTCCCTTTTCCATAAAAGTCTATTTCCTGATAGAGAAAAAAGATTTTTGGAGGGGGGCCCCTTGAAGCTCATTCCTGATCATCAGGGAGGCAAAAACTGCAGTTTTAAATATGGTGCCATTTTTGTCTCCCACTGCTGATTGGCTGAGGGACCTCAGTGGCCCCAGAGCTTGCTGCTGACCAGCAGGGAGGCAATAACAGCACCATGTTTAAAACTGTGGTTTTCACTTCCATGCTGATCAGGAGCAAGCCACAGGCAAAGCCCTCCAAACAGCAGCAGGTGAGGGGAGCTGTGTGGGAACCTGAAAGATTAAAGGAGCCGCTGCACAGCTCACTTCCACTGTGAATTCAGTAGGGGCCTAAACACAAGATTTCATTTTCTTATTTTTATATCTTAAAAAGTAACACACTTTTCTAGGTACAGTATAAACCTTTCTTTAATTCTTTGATTCAACCCATGTTGCTCTATAGCAATGAATTGCACCAATGGACTCCCAGCTGTGTTAAGAAATGTTTTTCCCTTATTCATTCAAAATGTCCTGTCCTTTCATGATTTCTTTTTGAGTAAGTCCTGTATTCCCTGCTCTTCAGACAACACTTCCACTGATTTCATAAATAAGCATGCAGGAGTTGAGGCAGTGGTTGACAAATGTAAGAACAAGGGCTGAATTCTGCCCCTCTGTTCCATACATTTTGTTTCTATTCTAGCCAGTTTTCTTCAT